TCCAAGAACTGGAACGAATGTAAATAAAACCAGAGAATTGTATTTACTGCCAAAATGCAGTGTGAATGCTTATTGCAGAAGAACTTGCAGGAAAACAGCTGAAATTAGCTAAAAATATCTGAAAAGTAGCTGAAAAGTAGCTCTTTCATTCATTCAACCTTTATTTCTACAGGTTAGTCTAATGGAGCCTCAAGGCCTCGTTTACAAGAGAGACCTGATTTAAACAAAGAACACAGATGAGGTACAGACAATAGACAATCATATAAAAAGCACATAAAATGAAAAGTAAATACAATAAATTGTATAAAAATGAAAAAAAAAAAAAACAGCTTCATTATAAAGCAATGTAGAAAACTAAAAACAGGAACATGACCGCATTGTTTTTTTTTCCCAGGAACTAAACAGATGTTTAAAGTCACTGAGAGGTCAAGGTCGAGAGCTTCAGATCTTTTTGCAAGATATTCCAGGAAACAGGAGCGGAGTAGGAGAAGGCCCTTTTGCCTAGTTCAGTTCGCACAGAGGGAACACTGCAGGTAATAATGTCTTGAGAGCGCACGCTGTAGCTGCACTCACGCAGTGACATGTAGGAGGAGATGTATGAAGGCAGCAGACCAAGAAGTGATTTAAAGATGAAAATGTACCAGTGGAAGAATCTGCGTGAAGTTAATGATGTCCAGTTAACCAGTGAATACAGGGTGCAGTGGTGGGTACGATAATCACAGCCAGTTATGAATCTTAGTGCACCATGATAGACAGCATCCAACATCTGCAGGGTTCTTGTAGGAGCGTTCATGTAAATAATGTCACAATGTCAATGTCACCGTAGCTGAAAAGGCAGAAAGAAGCTTAAACTACCAGAAGGAAGCAGAAAGACTTGAAATGAGCTCATAACATGTGGAATTATCTGGAAAAGCTAAAATTAGCACAAAAACAGCTAAATAGTAGCAGAAAAAAACTGAAAATAGCAGGAAAAAAGCTGAAAAGAGCAGAAAGAAGTTAGAAGAAGCACAAAACGCTGTAGTTAGAAGAAAAAAAGCTTCAAGGAGCACAAAACTAAAAAACAGTTAAAAGTAGCTGTTGCTGAAAAGTGTAAATTTGCACAAGGAAGCTGAAATAAGCTGAAGCAGACCAAAATGTGAAAGGAGCAGTAAAAGGTTGTAAACAGATCTAAAGATTTGAAGGACGTAAAATGAGCTCAGATCATTTCTATGAGGGAAAAGTGGAAGAAAAGGCTAAATATTTCAAAAAGCTAAAGCACCAATACCAAAAGTCATAGCAGGATTGTCTTGAAATAGCTGAACATTTTTGATTGATTTGTTGAAAGTGAAAATTGAAGATGCTGAAAAACTGTACAGAAGAAAAATGGATAACAATAGAGTGAATGCTTCATGGACATTCAGACAATAATGTTTCCTGCTTTTTTTTTTTACCTGCACAAACACTTCAGTCCAGTAAAGCAGCTCTTGTGCATAAGTTGGATCTGAAGAAAACAACTTGCTGACCAGCTGGACTCGAGGAAAATACACTCTGTGTCCAGATGGAGCTCCCAGGAGCTCCAACCTGTTGGATTCGGGGGACACAGAACACCTAAATATCCTCAACATGTAGCCCTCTCAGTGTGGAGGATGGCAGCAAACACAGGAACCAAAATCATCTTTTTTTTATAGCTCTTAACTGGCTGATAACGAATCATAAACAGTGGCAGTCCTATCAGGATCAGGAGGTGTTTCACCGTCTAACGTCGCCCTGCAGGACTGCCAAGAAGGAGCTCGGCTCTCTCTGGATGTGGACGCCGACTACAGATGGACGACTGGTCGCTATTATTAGCCAAAACTTGTGAATGTTCCTTCCAAGCAAAGCTGTGAAGATTCATAATTAATGTGAGATTTTCACAGCTCACCTAAACGTTATTTTGTGGAAATTGTCTTCAGCTATAGAATAAAGTGCATGTTGTCAGATCCAAGCAGTCCTCCTGACAAATAACTCTTTGTTTTGCTCTTCAATGAACAATAAGTGCTTGTAAAAGTCAGAACATGTGAATTCAGCACTTTAAAGTGTCATAGCATGTTGTTTTTAAAGGAGTAATAGTAGTTTGTGCACCCTCTTTTTAATTCCCACTAATAAAAATGACCTGATTTTACCAGTTCTATATTTATTTAAATGTAACCTCAAGTGAAAGACAACAGATGTGTCCCAGACACGGTTTTATTTGTTAAAGAAAATCAAACCCAAAATGGAGAAGTTGATTGTGAAAAACTAAATCCTCTCATGTCTCCTCCACAGGACTGAACAGAAGGCTGCTGACTGTCATCAGTGTGAACACATCTTCAGGTGTGCGCTAACACAACGCCAAGAAGGTAAATCACCAGCAATGACCTCAGAGAAGCAGCTGTTGCTGCTCACCAACCTGAGAAAGTTAGAACATTTTCAAACAACTTGAAGTCTGCCAGTTGTTCACATGTGGAAAACATTTAAGACAGCTGCCAGTCTGATGAACATCTCAGAAAATTCACCCCAAAGTCAGACTGTATAATGTTCAGAGTCATGACAAAAACAAAAGAGGTCCATGAAACCATCGTCAATCAGCACAGATGCCTCAAATTAACTGTCTAACAGACTCCTTGCAGTCGTTGAGTCCACCATGAACTCCTCTGTAGACCAAAGGATTCTAGAGGCAAACATTTGACACACAACAGAGACCCCAAACCCAGCAGCTACTGGTAATCTACAACAGTGTAGATGAACATATTCTGTGATATATTCATAAATTAAACGGATTCTTTCATTTTTCTGGACTGAATAATAACGTGCATTGAATTTAATTAAATGTGGACGGAAACGTGTTTATCTTTGACTCACCAACAACAGTGGGTCATTTATTTAAAAACGATTTAAACACATCACACATTTACATTAATTTGGCAAAATGATTTCAACAACAACATGGCTAATTTAGCAAGTTTTACAAGGAGGAAACCATACGGCGATGGTTTCCCTTTGCTTCCAGCTGTACAACAGACATTTCTAAAAATATCTGGAATGATTTCTAGCAAAAAGAAGAGTTTAAAGATGGAAATTGAAGTTTAAGTTGAGAGAAAGGATGGATGAGGGAAATGTGTGTGTCGGCATCAGAACGGCACTCTCCGGTGAACTCCCAGCTTCTTCCCCGGTACACTTAGGTGGTATAAATCAACTTTTTACCTGGAGGAGATGTCTCCACTGGTACGAAGTTCCATTTAACGCACCCTTTCAGCGTCTCCATAGGAACAGCCGTGAATCGTCCGAAGTAGTGACGGTACTTGTTCGACACAAGTTCACCTCTTGGTGGACTCACATGAGTGGAGTCCGTCAGAAGTTCCACTCAGAGGTGGAAGATGTCATAATCCCCACAAGACTCGGAAGAACTGCAGATCATGTCGGGATTTTCCTGTTTTCTCCAGCACTTCTCGGTTCGGTTCTGCTCCCAGAACTGAACTTCTCTCCCACCGCACTCGACTGGAGCTGGCGCTTGAAGCTGGAATCTGAAGCGACTGGTTGGAACTAGGAAGTACCGACATTTAAAGAGTTCTATTTCCGGTTCATTTGGGAGGTTCCTGATTGGTCGTTTCGACCAGACAGGGGTGTGTTTTTGTGACGTAAGAGGTCACTAGAAGTCAGAAAAACAGAAAGTGTTTTGGAACAGATTGAAAATGTTTTTAGAGACAGACGAGAGGAATATTTAGGCGAGTTGGGGGAAAACAGGTGCCAGCCTCTATATTTACGTCTGAGAGGATTTAAAAACATGACAGTTTGTTCCAACAACTTGTTTTGCGTTTGACTCCAACCTTGGACCAACTTACACTTGCTCATTCAAAGACAGAAAATCAGAAAATGCATAATTACTCTGTAACAGACCTTAACGTGATTTCTACTTTGCATGAGGATTAAAAATCACTAATACTGTTTCACAGTTGATTAAAAATGAGTAGTTCACTTCAACATTTAAAAATGGTTTGAACTAAACACACTTTGATTATCAAACATTTGTAAAATAGTAATGATAATAGAAAAAGAGAGTGTTCTTTCAATTGATCAGTGCAGGACAAGAGAAAGTCTCTGGATGAACTTAATCTTGTGTTTCTGGACTCAAATCAATGAAATACAGTTCTTGTTCCAGGCAGGCCCTCAAGGCCAGATTTTGACCTGAGGCTTAGTTCACTACAACAGAATGACTCAAAACGAAAAGATCACGGTGCTGCAATGGTCCAGTCAGAGTCCATAACCTCAACCTGACAGAGGTTTAAACTTTCAGGTTTTGTTTGAGAAACAAAATTCTGCAAACCTAAATGAACTGAAGCAACACTGTAAAGAAGAGTGGGCCAAAATCTCCCAGCAGCATCATGGGAGGCTGAAGTCATACAGAAAACATCTGCTTCAACTTGCTGCTGACCTGGTTGAACCTGCTGAGTGGTTTTTACACTAGAGATTTGAATTAGTTGAGTACCATCCATCCATCCATCCATCACCTACTTCTTCCTTATTGTGTCACGAGGGTTATTGGCGCCCATGTCCAGCAATCACTGTGCGAGGGGCGGGGGACACCCTGGACGGGTCGCAAGTCCATCACAGGGAAACAAATGAGACAAACAACCATTCACTCTCTCACTTACACCCAGAGACAATTTAGAGTTCAGTGTTTCCCCTAGATAACTTAGATAACTTGCCATGGTAGGGCGTCCATCTTGTCCATGATTTTTGTTGATTGGGGGGTGGACGGAGACACGTCTTCAGCTGTGTGCTGTTTGTAATGACAGGTTTCGAGTGGGATGCGTGTGTGTGTGTCAGTGTTAGGGTTCAGCATGCAGGAAGAGGCAGTGTGAAGCCCACTTGTACTGCGTATTGTTACAACATGTTAACTCCACCTAGAATGGCCCCAGGCCGGGATTTGATCCAGTGACCATGCCGCCATGCTGTGATCCGTAAACCTCAAAAGAGGGTGGACCTTCTTGTGCGCGTCTCACCTGTGTGCGTCCTGTAGTGGTCCTTCATGGCTGACAGGTTGAGGAAGGAGTAGTGGCAGGACGGCCACGCACACTTGTACGGTTTCTCTCCGTTGTGCAGCTTCATGTGGTTGTTCAAGGCCCACTTTTCGCTGAAGGAGCGGTCACACAGATCACACTCGAACTTCCTGCAAGAGAATAAAAGGAGCAGGAGGAGTGGGGGCGGGGGGGGGGGGGAGAGAGAGAAGAGTTATTTACTGATCCAAAGCTGACGTAAAATGTTAGAAAATCCACCCAGAGATGGAGGAAACGAAGGCTGCAGGGTGCTCACCCCCCCCCCCCCCCCCACACACACACACATGTGCACACACACTGCAGTTGGTTGCTGGTGTGTCATGTCTGTATAAGCAGGCATTGATTTTTCTGTCCTGGCCTGCCACCTCCACCATTTATTCTCTGCTTTGCACCAGGGCCCAGAGGACTAGAAAAATTCTGTTACAGTCTACACACACACACACACACACACGCACACACACACACGCACACACGCACACACACACACACACACGCGCGCACGCACGCACGCAAGCACGCACGCACGCACGCACGCACACACGCACACACACCCTGCAGGGCCATTGGGAAGAATAGAGTTCACCTGTTCACTGTCCCCAACCACTTAGCCAGGGCTAAATGAACAGTTAGCAACATGTTACCTCCTGCGCGTCTGTTCAGGCTCTTGTATCAGAGCTTCCACTGCATCAAGACATAAAACCTCTTGTTCCATCACCAACATCAGCCGTCGTCTAGCTTTGGATAGTTAGGATCACTTCACAGAGCGTAAGGAGTTATTCATTGTTTGGTGCTTGGGATTTTCTCCTCTGATGCCCGAGGCCTCTTTTGAAGATTCGGCACAGAAACGGTGAATATGCATGCCGTTCTGTCTTTGCTCCGGACATCTGTCTGTTCATCACGCCCACGACCCAACAAAAGCTGCTTTTTATTTATTTATTTATTTATTTTTATCAGCAGTGTGTAGGATGTTTGCACCTATATTCATCTGCTGCGATGTTCAAGAAACACAGAAGACAATAGGAGAACGCCTGGGCTTGAATCAATCTTTACCCCGGTGCCATCATTTAGGCACAGAATGACTAATGTGCGAGTCAGAAACAAATGAAGTTGGGTTTGAAGGGGGGGGGGTTGTCTTGCAGGGAGGGTCGTGTTATTTTAGGGAGGGCGGCTGTCTTTAAGTCCTGATTGTGTCGCTTAATCCCCGCGGTATCTGTTTCATAGCGAGCAGCATGACACTCACCTGAACAAATAATGACTGCGAGCAGCATGTAGCATGTGTCGGAATCAATAATTCAAGCTCGTACATCTTTTTTACAGGGTGGGGGGGGGGGGGGGGGGAACGCGTCCCGGCTTTTGTATCAATCTAAATGCTCCTTAGAAATGGATCTAAACGTGATTGAGGTGTAACCATGCACCGGATGAGAGGACGCTGTAAGCTGCTTTTAAAACAGAGCCCCTCTCATCTGGATTCGAGTTCTCATCATTTGACCAACACGTGTACGTCTGCATCTGTATTTCCTTCCCTCTCCCCCCTCCCTGCAGTATTTATGGAACGGCCCGTCGCCCGTGCAGACGTGGGAGAGGTAAATAAGATGAGTGAGGAGATGCTATCTTTTATTGTAAGCATTATGCACAACACTCCTGCTTTATGAGCTCAACGGGCCCTTGTTCATCACGGGCGTAATCGCAGAGTCAGGCAGGCGGGCCTTGACGGGGGCACGCTGGGATGGAGGGAGAAAAAAAGAACGAGTGAGAACAGGAAGCCAGGAGGAGAGGAGAGAAGATGGAGGAGTCAGGGCTGGCAGAGTCAGTGGTGTTTTCTGTACGGATGAGAGGAAGGTTTGAGTCTGTTTTTATGGGATGAGATGGAGTGCTTTGATCTTGTCCCTGCGTGTCAGATCCCTTCATGATCCACCGTCTCACCCATACATATGCATATTGCCTCTAAACAGGCAGGCGGCATGCAAAGAACGCACCGACGGTGGGAGGCAGAGGGGGAGTGAGTGCGTCTGTGCAAAGGAGGGGAGGTTGAGATACGGAGACACGACTACGAGAAATGGAGAGTTGTGTCTGTTTGAAATACGTGCAAACTTTTAGAACGCTGCTTAGGAATTGGATTTGAACAAACAACAAATAAATTTTGGAAGAGTCCTCCCTACGCGGCCAGATCAGAGAAACAGCTGAAGAAGTTCAGAAAGAGACGTGAAGACACTAAGTTTTAATGATTCAGGACTACTTATTTAATTAAGGTATGTCCTCCTTTAGAGAAACAAGATTTAATTCCACTCGTCACCTCAGCTGAGACACAGACTTTCAGGTCAAGGATCCCACAAACCGTTAGAGATGGAAGCTGGACAATATGTTCTATTGTGAGTTTGAATATTTTAAAAACAAAACAAGAGCATGCGGCACATCATGCACACGCTGACAAACCTTAGCAATGGCCCAGACATTCAAAGAACATGAATAAACTTTGACCTTGATTTGTGACCTTTAACTTACAGCTGGGATAATGAAAAGTGAACACAACACAGTCTAGTGGTGGTACAAATCCAAATTGTTTTGTTAAATCATCTTGAGCAGATCCAAAGTTATCGTCATAACGAGCAAAGACCTGGTTTTGAATTTGACCTTGATTTGTGACCTTGACCTTAGAGATGGGGTGATTACAGTGAACATGACACTCCTAGTACAGATGTATGTGTGTATGAAGTTTTGTTCAATTATCTTGGGCAGATTGGAAATTATAGGTGGGACAAGAGGAAGTTTACATACGGTTGGAGACTGTATTGTAAAAGTCGGCCTTCGACGGGCGAACGATAAAAAGTAATCGACGTCTGCAGCTGAAATATTATGACCGCTGGCCAAAATGGCTGAAGAATATGCAGGAATATTTTCAGAAACATCTAACTGTGTTTGCCTGTTTTATATTATTTTATTTTTTTTAGTTTTAAGGGCTAATAAAAACCATTAAGAACAAACACAGGCAAAATAAGGCAAAGGCTGTGGATGTACGTCACATTTACATATAAATGTAAGGAATCCTAATTATTTTAGAGTAATTATTATGATTTGCATAAACTTATTATAAGTTTGAGAAGTTAGCGCACGCTCGTAAATCCTGAAACTGAGCTGGACGTTTCAGCAGCAACACAAATGTTCAGTTTCTGTAAATGAGATGTATTTGGTTTAAAAACGACACAAAGATCGACACATCACCGTAATGTGACGATGATGTTCAGCAACATCTGTCAAGTTTAAACACACAGGAGGAAAAATATCAACGTCTACAGGTTCCAGAAGGATTGAATAACATCCACGATTTAAACCTACGTTGAGGAGTTTTAGTCAAACCTCAAAAATTACATCGTGCATGACCTGATGCTCCAACGTCAAGGTCAAAAATCAAGGTCAACGTTAAAACAAAGTATTTATTTTCCCACCCACAGTCCTATCTGTGAATGATCCTCCAACAAAGGTTAATCCACCGCAGACGTACGTTCAATTATTATTTTACAAGACTTTTCATATGTCCAGTGGTTCATTAGATGTTTTGCTAACAGACAAAGGGAGATTACTGTAAAGGCAAAATTTTCTGCACACACATTGTGTCGTGTTCAGAGTGTTGAAGGAACTGTAAATCATTTCTACGTTTTCTACAGTCAGTTAGCTGTGGCGGCCATCTTTAACTGTGTTACCTTTAAAAGTTAATCACATGTAGAAGAACATCCAGTGATTGTTTTGTGGGAGTTTCATTTATATTTGTCCACTGGTTTATGCGATATTTTGCTAACAAACAGACAGCGGTCTAATTTTGTGTGGTCAGTGCTCAGAAGGTGTTGGGGATGACTCTCAGCTACTACCACACCCGATTTTAGCTCATTTTGTGTGTTTGGTTAACTTTGGCTCCAAACATTGTTTTCATCTGCCCATCAAATAATTACTTTCTAAGAGTTTTATTAAATGTGTCCTGTGGTTCATGAGATATTATGCTAACAGATGACAAACAGACACGGGGAAAAAAAACAACATTAAAATATAACATAAAGTTAGAAACACAAACAAGTTTTTTTGGGGCTTTTTAAAGCTGTTGTCAAATATTGATCGTCAAAGGCTGAAAAAAAATCCTCCCACACCTCCTGGTCCTCCTCCTCCTTTTCTTTTTCCTTGTGATGGCGGGAGCAGAGCGATGTGATTGACACCGTGTGCAGATTTATTCCCAACTACAGGTGAGTCTTGACTGAAGAGCGAGGGAGCTGCATGCTGCCGTCTCCATACTGTCACTCATTACCATATCTATACTGCAGCCTGATCCAGATCCAGCTCAGACTCCAGGAGCCCCTGTCAGGACATCCAGGCGCACTGCTGCCTTTAACTGTGATGGAGATCCCTCAGGAGGACTTCCTGAGCCTCTAAAGAGGATCTGACTCATTACCACACACTCACTACCACCCCCAAGTGGTGAGTGATGAGAACCCGGCACAGCAAGTGTGATTACTGGAAACTACAACGAAGGTAAACTGGATGAAGAGCCAAGAGGAAAAAAGGGGGACACAGATGTTTGATCTGACCCCACACATCCCCAAATTAGACAAGATGAGTCAAATGTTTGTAGATTTCAAGATGAGTGTTTTTCTGGACTGGAATTGAACTGGGAGTAAACCTGAATGTTTCTGAAGCAAGAACAGAGGGAGGTGTTTTTATGGGCTTGTTTGAGGCAGCACAGACTCCTGGTGAATACAGGGTGCAGTTTCATGCACCACCAGGTGCAGTGATGGAACCAGGGGGTGGCCAATGGTGGCCTTGACTATCGTAGATTATATTTTGGCCACCTCAGACATGTGTGAAAACTATACATTAAAGCAATATAAAAACTAGAAATCATAGTTTCCTCAAATGATTGGGGAGGCTGGTCTATATTTGTGGTGACAGCCATCTTGGATTTTGACTTGTCTGCTCAATTTTTGACAACACAGCTACACACCAGAACATAAATCAACACATTGCTTATTTTTGAAGTGCTCCAACTCACGAGGTTTACATATATGATCTAGATATGATGGCAGCCATCTTGGATTTTGACATGGAAACCGAGTTTTTGAAAGGAACCTTT